CGGTATGCGATAAATAGGCCCAACACCGTAGTATGAGAAACATCCCCATATCATGATGCTTGCGCAACCATGCTTCACTGTCTTCACAGTGTACTGTGGCTTGAATTCAGTGTTTGGGGGTCGTCTGACGAACTGTCTCCGACCACTAGACCCAAAAAGAACAATCTTACTTTCATCAGTCCACAAAATGTTGCGCCATTTCTATTTAGGCCAGTCAATGTGCGATTTGGCAAATTGTAACCTCTTCAGCACGTCTTTTTTTCAACAGTGGGACTTTGCGGGGGCTTCTTGCAGATAGCTTGGCTTCACATAGGCGTCTTCTAATTATAACAGTACTCACAGGTAACTTTAGACCTACTTTGATCTTCCTGGAGCTGATTGTTGGCTGAGTCCTTGCCATTTTGACTATTCTTCTATCCATTCGAATGGTAGTTTTTCGCTTTCTTCCACGTCTTTCAGGTTTTGGTTGCCATTTTAAAGCATTTGTGATCATTTTAGCTGAGCAGCCTATCATTTTCTGTACTTCTTTATATGTTTTCCCCCTCTCCAATCAACTTTTTAATCAAGGTACGCTGTTCTTCTGAACAATGTCTGGAACGACCCATTTTCCTCAGAATTTCAGAGAGAAATGCAATGTAACCAGCATGTACAACATTTGCTGCCTTCCTTCCTGAAATAAGGGCAATAATTGCCACCTGTTTTTTCAAAGAATGAATGACCTCACTAATAGAACTCCACACTGCTATTATTTTGAACATTCCCCTTTCAATTAGTGATTCAATTTCACAGAATCAGCAGCATGCATGTCATGACTGTTGGGTTTGTTGGATTTCTATAACGCTACTACACCTGCTAGTAAATTATTTGCCATGTAGAAATATAATTTCTACCAAAAAAGTGATTGATCAGGTTAGTGATGTCTGACTGCTATTATTTTGAACACAACTGTATATATATTTATTTATTGAAATATATTTTGAAATATATTGAATATGTTCCAAATTGTAGCATTTCAAATATACTGTATGTCAAGAACATTTTTAAAATATATTTCAGATATATTTTTCTTCCATATGGGCTGATCCAGAATTACCACAAGAGCTTGATTTAAGTTATTGCAGCTAAAGGAGGTTCAACTAGCTATTAAACCGCATGGGTTCACTTACTTTTTCCTTCAGCACTCTGAATGTTAATGGGTGTGTTCAATACAGACATAGAAATCATAGTAAATTGTTTGTGTGTTATCAGTTTAAGTACACTGTGTTTGTCTTTTTTGTTGTGACTTAGATAAGAATCAGATTACATTTTATGGCAAATTTCTGTAGAAAACCAGTTAATTCCAAACGGTTTGCATACTTTTGTCGGAACAAATTGGATCATGTTTTTCTGGGGTTTTTTTTTGCCTTCTGGGTTTTTTTTTTTTTTTACACAACTTGATACATTTTATGATAGATTTTCCTAGTGCAGGCGTCACTAAATGGCAGAAGTGAAAGAGCTCAGGACTGAGAAATGTATGGGCTAGAGGCTGTGATGTGGGGGGGGGGCTGAGGAGGACATTAAAATAGGGATGCGGAGGACAATAATGTGGGGGGCTAAGGACTGTGATGTGTGGGGGCTAAGGACATTAAAGTGGGGGGGGCTGAGAACTGTAATGTAGGGGGGATTGATGTCTAGGAAGTGTGAGAACACAACTGTGAAAGGGGTGGAGGGTGTGTGATGTAAAGGGGGAGCTGAGGGGATCTTGCTGTGAAAGGGGAGGGGACTGTGATGTGCAGTGGGCATTGAAGACACTGATGTATGAACAGTTTCAGATCTGTACATGTGCATTTGGTTCTCACATTGTGGGTAGGTCAGCAAAAGAGGATCAGAGAAAGAAGTCCCCAACCCTTTTTTCAAAATCACGCCACAGTAACACGCGTTTGCCGCACACGGAAATGCACCACATGTGCCTTCATGAGTTTCGGACCTCTGCTGGATGAAAATTTTACTTCCCGGACCTCTGTGAATTTTAATTCAATACCCCTGTCCTAGTGTATGACTTCAATTTCACAGCATGTAGTCCACTATCAGTTCAGTACAGACCTTGTGGCACACCAATACAGTATTAACATTACATTTTTCATTTTAACTTTGTGCATTAATGTACTTGGTAATTATAACCATACACAACATAAATGAATATTATTTTATTGTGTGAGCTACGTCAAAGTACAAAAGTTTGTATTGAAAATCAGTACTTTACAACATTATAAAGTACAAAATCAGGTTTTAATATTCAGATTTTAATATTAAAAAAGTGAACATTTATTGGGAGCAGGGGCGGACTGATCATTTGGGAACTCGGGCACTGTCCGAGGGCCCGGGGTCAGTAGGTGGCCCCATGAGATGCCCCTGGTACCTTTCATAGGCTTTTTTGGGTGTGATTTGAGTGTAGGTGAGGACACAGGGGCCCCGTGATCCCCTATTGCTCGGGGGCCCCATGAGTTGTCAGTCTGCCCCTGATTGGGAGTTTTGATAACGTTAAAAAAAAAATGTAAAATGTGCTTTTTAAGGGCAAATTAGTCCAACAGTATTCTACTCTTATACAAGAATAGATAGCCTAGCAAAGCCAATGTATCTTCCCTTAATACATGTTGAACGTGATTGCTGATTCACACATGTGGTTGAAGCTCAGGTTTCACAGCTAATTGATAAAGTAGTTGTTCAACTGTTCAGGGCAAGTTTAAAATCAGGTTCAGGTCAGGATTTTATTCTGTTCACAACTGATGACATGTGTGGTTTAGAAATGGTTCCCATACAAGTCAATAGTCTTTAATCCACACCTGAATCGGACTGCACTGCTCAGAAACTGGCATAACTCTTTTTCAATCCACACTTATGGTAAAAGGGAAAGGATTTTAAAAATAAAATTCTCAAAGAATTTTCCCACAATACCAAAATTTTACTACTACATGAGGAGTTGAAGATCAAGGTAACTATTCCTAGCTGAAGTTATTCATAAAAAATGCTAATACATAGATGTACAACCACTTCCTAATTCTGCCTGCTGACTGAATTTCTGAAAAGCCAGTGTTTCTCCTGCCTTAATGGGAAAAGAGAAAAATCTCTCCCAAAAACAAAGTCAAGTTTTGTGTGGGTCAAAGCTGAAGATAGCTTATCTAAAAACATGAAAAAGAAAACATGTTAAGCACATCAATGGAGTTCTGGAAAAAACTTTGTATTTTCATATATTTTCATAAAAGTATAGTTATACTATTTTAATTCTGGAAATGATTAGTCTTTACTCTAAATAATACTAGAAACCACAGATTTTGGTTCTGTATTTACAGACCTTGGATTACTTAAATAAGCATAAGATAGCTGATGCATCAGTGTTTTCTTGACATGTTTGGTCACAAATAATTGTACTTTAGGAAGCCTGATAATCACAAAATCGTTTGACATTTGCATACATGCTTTAGCACGGAGCATCAGAGACAGATTTACCATTAGGACCAGTAGTCCTGCATCTATAGGTAGTAGAGAAAAAGAGAGGCTTTTCCATGTATATATTTTTCCCACTATATCACAAGTTGAAATATAGCATCTCTAATAAGCTAATTTTAACACTGTAACAATATTCTAGATCTAGTTAGGATCAGCAAAAAATGTTTTTATGTAAAAGAAGGTACCAAAGGTTGTGCCTTTTGCCAACAGGGATAAGTGGAACCCTAGGTTTCCTCCTTAGGTTGCTAGAGATTCCTTGAGCAGTGAGCAATGGTGAACTAATCTCTCACTTTCCCCATTCACCAATGCAATGGAGCAAATTTCCACAAACCACCAATGTATATGGTCACTTCTACACTGACCACTGATGTAAGGGGACACTTTTTTTCATTATAGGACTACTACTGACTATGTGGTTATATAGAGCAGAAGGTGGTAGAAAATTAGCTGCCCTGGGTGTCAAATACAGTAGGTAAACCACATTCTTTATTTACAATTTTCTACAACTTACTGATCATGCTAATGTACCATGAGTTGTAGGTTTAGTCATTAATATTAGGGGTTCCTCAAGCCCTGAAAGTTTTTTCAAGGGTGCCCCAGGTAAAAAGATTGAGAAAGGATGGTCAGCAGACTGCAGTGGCAGAAATCTAGCCCTGCTGAGCTCAGGATGTAGGATTTCAATGTGTTTCTGTACTTTGTATGATAAAAAATAACTAAAAACTAAATGAAAATGTCTAACCTAATCATTCCAGATTTGGTGTTCTGAGATGGTCTATTCTGGTTATTTGTGCCACATTCACTGCTCAAAAATAGAGCAAACCCGATGTCAATACACGTTTTTATATATTAGTGGCTAGGTGTTAACCCTATTACAAAGTTTTTTAATATTTCAGATATTTATGTCTGCTGTTACGCATACTTTCTATAAGTGGCAAACAGTGTGGCTCAGGGTTCATGGGGTGTTCTTTCCTCTGGTACATTAGTTTCTTACAGTGATGACACCCACAGCAGGTGCAAAATGGAGGATATCTCTTCTATTATATAATTAGCCTGTACATCTGAATGACTGCTACTCTGAACTACAGCAGCCAGTATGGAAAGAAGAAAATCCTGATGGTATGCCATTGTAAATTTGTGGTCAAGCTTCTGCATGAAACTATGAGGTGATAGCCTTCACAACTAAAGTGGTGTTGCAGCAGTATAAACGGATGGGGAATGTAATAATTCTTATTACTAAAGATAGTGCTCAGATACTGGGAAAGCTGTGGTGATAATACATTACTGAGAAATGTTGGAAACAATACCCTGTTAGATAAAAATTGATGTTGAATTAAAACAGGATCTGCTTTCTCCTTTTAGATTCTCCTAAATGTGTTTATTAAGCAAGTATGAATACTAATAGCAACAGCATTGTTCTGTTAATGTTGTTTTCATAATCTAATCTTACATCCAGTTATGTGATCTAAAGGTATTATGATAACAAATTCTTGATGACTGAAGGAATAACACAGATTTCAGTAATTTCTTCGAATTTCGTATGGTCCCCATACTGTGTTTGTATCTTCCTTTGGCCAAGCAGAACTATCTTGCATGGGACTTGTTTCTGCAGAGTCCTCTTGAGAAAGATGATGAACCATCTTTGGGGCCAATTCATTGTTCACTGTCATAAATGGTGGGAAGGCATAGGAAGAGGTAGTCGGAAAGGTAGTAGAGTAGTGAACATCTTCTAAAGCATGCAATGAATAAGACTGAGTGCCCTGGGATGAGGAGGACCCTCTGCTTGCACTCCTGTAGTGTGTGGCTCCATTTTCAGATGAGATGCAACTTGTGGATGATGTTACAGTTTGTGAAGCATCTGTGCACAGTGCATCCAGCTGGTTAATTGAATCAGAAACAGTTGGCTCCCATGAGTCTCTCTGTGGAATAAAATACACACAATATTATCTATCTGTCCAAGTATCCGGTCCAAAAGTTTAAAAAGCATTCTTACACATTCATAAGGATAATTAGTTACAAGGAACAGTTGCAAGAAATTGCAAGCCACTTTAAAGTGGAGCTCCAGAATCCCCCCAAAAAATTAAAAGTCAGCAGCTACAAATACTGTAGCTGCTCACTCTTAATGCAAGAACACTTACCTGCCCAGGGATCCAGTGATGTTCTCACCCGAGCCCCTTTTTCAATCCACTTCGGGTGCAGGCGCAGCATCTTAAGTAAGGGAAACTGGCAGTGAAGCTTTGTGGCTTTTCACAGCAGGTTTCCTACTGCGCATGTACGAAATGCACCGTGCTTTGTGAATGGTCCCACAGTCTTCTGAGAACTGTGAATTGTCTCAGAAGGCTGTGGGGGAAGGAAGGTGGGCGAACTTCTGGCTCAGATCACTGTGGCGCATCTAACTGGAAGTGGGAGTGGGTACCTGTCAAAACCCCAAAAAAGTGCCAAATGTGGCAGTGGAAGGGGGAGGTTGGATGCAAACAAGCAGATCTTCCCCTTTTGGGTAAAGTTCAGTTTTAAAATTGAAACATAGCTACTTCAATTTTGCTATCCCTGGATTGACTCTCGTCCCTCCATCAACATGTTTATTCAAGTTTTAGATAAAATGGTTATCATCAAACAGATTATTTTACACCCAGTAACAGGGGTCAGTCTCTGTGCTTCTATAGTATATACAGTTCAGACAGATCATGGGTGGTGAGATGGGCTGTTAGGGTGCTGTTTATAGTTTCCAGGAAACATCACAGCACCCTACTTCAGTACTCTCTTAAGAGCCAAAAGTGGACTGACTCTCAGGTGAAGTTGCAAATATCAAAATTCCTTGGTGGGTGAATGTCTGTCTGGAGGAGTGGGTGCATGAAAGATCTGAAATCCAATGAATCAAGGGAGAGGGGTCTGGGACAGTAAGGTTGGGGAGGAAGGAGCTAGATGATACAGGATGTCCCCCAGTCTGGAAATAAGGCAGGCTCTAACTTGCTGCACCTTTTAATGCATGGTGTGAGAAGCTCACAGTGTAAGACTGAAGCTGAGGTGAGGCTGGAGTTCAGTGTTAAGTCAAAGAACCCGTTCCATAGGCACTGCAGATATATTATATATATATATATATATATATACACATATACATACAGTATAATCATTTAATACTTACGGTCCAATACAAGTGCTCTATATGCATATTACCATTGTGTTATGGCCGATGATGAAACCTTCAGACAGAATGACCCAAGGCTCCTAGGTAACCCTTCATCATATAATATATGCCCCAAAACACTTAGTAAATGTTAAACCTCTGAAATGGAAAATTAACAAAGCATATCTTTCTATAGTGTGTGCTTGTCTCAGTCCAAAGAGCCTTGCAGAACTCTTGCCACGCTCTGTATTCAACTCTGGTGTAAGGTAAATGAAGGACAGGCTTCAGCTCAAATTCCTGCCCATCGGTCGCACCCATTTTAGAGGGATGTGTCCAATGGACAGGGATTTGAGCATAAACCTATCATTCATGTATCTCTCACTAGGGTTGAGTGGAGTGTGTGGTGGTACCTGTATTCTATATTATATCTTGGAGCAAGGTGTGCTCTCTCTGTCAGCACCTGAATACAGAGTGTAAACCTGGGAGACCTACTGCAGGCTTGGAGCAGTGCCAGTCTGTTATGGTACTAGAGTGAATCTTGTCTAATCTCTCTCCTTCCTCTGCTATCTGGTTGAGCCCCCCTCCCCAGCACACAGTAGGATATGGACAGTTGTGCATGTTTTCCTATGAGACCATGTAGAGGAGGGCGTGCCCATTCCCTTCACTCATGTCTCAGATTACACTAAGTGCTTTGTTCTGTGCTGTACAGTGTGTGACATCAGATCCCTACTTCCTGCCTCCTGCAGCTTAGAATGCAGCTTAGTCTTTGATGTGCTTTAGAAAAGAGAGGGCTGCAGATAAACAGATACTGTATAGCTTATGGCAGGAGGATTTACTTAATCTTTGTGTATCACCCGAAGCTAGTCACTTCAAATAAACACATTATTCATGTCTGCCTCACCCAATTTTTTAATCTTCTCCTCTCTCCCCCACACAAATCATAATGTATTGTGTAAAATGATGAACTCAGAGTTGTTGAAAAATACCACAATGGTTAGTGGTACTGTTTTGTTGCCTCAGTTATATGCACATGAAAAACTGATTATTTGTATGTGCAGGTACCTGAAAAGGAAATAGGAAAGGAGCTTATAGAAGTGTAATGGGCATGTAGTTAGAAAAGAGACCATATAGACACATTCATTAGATATTGTAGCTCATGTCTCTAATTCATTTCCAAGCTCACAATGCTCATTTCTCCTGTTGAGCCCTCACTTCACTTTCTTCAAGCAAAATCTGGAAAGAATACTTGACTTTTTCTTGGTGTGTTGGATGCCTGCATCCCCTACTGTGGTTCATGCTGCTGGTGGCTACATTATTAAAGGTCAAAGTAATAATCTAGGGGCCAGTGGGAAAAATCACAGCACACAATGTGGGAACAGGCATACAACACACTTGGAAGTATAAAAACCTGTAATGGCCTGTTGGGTTCTGTTGCAAAGCAATGTGATCCGTTCCCCACTGGAGAGGTGAGTATTGACAATTTTCTTTTGCAGAAAACCCTTTTGAATTCTTTTTTGAGTTGTTTTAAGGCCCTTTTCAAACGGACTGATCAATTGGGTCTGCCTGTCAGTTTTTTAGGCCGACTCAATTGGACCATCCTTTATGGAGCAGTGGATGTAAACTGACTTGTATCTGTTTACACCTACCTACATCCAATCCAATCCACCAAAAACAGACAAATGGAGATCTGTTCCCCATCTGACAAGCGGATCAGATGTCAGTCAGGTACAGGGGCGGACTGACATCTCATGGGGCCCCCAGGCAGTAGAGATAATGGGGCCCCCTGTCCTCCAGCCTACACTCAAGCCACACAACACCCTACCTACATATTGCAGCTCAGCTGCATAGAAGGGGCATTTAAATATTTACTGCAACAAAGTCTGCATGAATGTTCCCGGCTTCTTTCCGTAGAAGCCACTGGACACTTCCAGGTTTAAATATGGTATGGCTGCCATGTGGGGGAAGTGAAAGAGAGAGGGGAGTGAGAGGATGAAAAAGAGGAGGGGTGAGAGAGAGAGAGAGAGAGAGAGAGAGAGGAAAGGATGAGAAAGGAGGGGTGTGTTTTAAATTGCTCTAAAAATTGGTCATGGATTGAAAGGGGTGTGGTTAAATAGTGCCTGAGAGGACTTATATAGTGCAGAATGAGGTAATGTTAAACAGGGAATGTACAGTGTGGAGTGTATGACAGTGGGTAGTATGTACAGGGAGAGGAGTGCGGAGTGTATGGCTGTGGGTAGTATGTGTAGGATGGTGTCAGCAGGTGGTGTCAGTAGTTCTTCATTTTTATTAGTATTATGATTTTTTTTTTTTACAATTTTATGATTTTTTTTTTTTTTACAAATTAATGTTTTATTATTTTTAGCATTTTTTTTTCAAAATGCTTTTGGGTGGCCAGTGGATGGTGTCAGTAGAGCAATGGTGTGGTGTCAGAATTTTTATTATCTAATTTTTAATTATTTTTACAATTTATTTCTGTATTATTTTTTTCACAATGATTTTGTGGAGGCAGTGGACAGTGTCAGTAGGGAGTTAACAGGGAACACTACTATATTTTGGGCTGTCATTATATTGGGATGAATAAACAGAACCTGCACCCCCTTTTATCGGAAGGAAGGGAATGGATGGAGGGAAGGAAGGAAGAAAGAAAAGGGAGGGAGGGAGAGGAATGGATGGAGGAAGGAAGAGGAGGGAAGGATGGGAGGAAAGAATGAAGGGAGGGGATGGAGGAAGGAAGGAAGGGAAGGAAGAAAAGGGAGGGAGGGAATGGATGGAGGAAGGAAGGTATGAAGGAAAGAATTAAAATGGATGGAGGAAGGAATGAAGAAAAAGGAAGGGGAGGGAGGAAAGGAAGAAAGGGAAGGGAAGGAGGGAGGAAGGAAGGAATAAAAAGGGAGAGAGGGAATGGATGAAGAAAGAGGAGGGAAGGGAGGAGGGGTGGGAGGAAAGAATGAAAGGAGGGGATGGAGGAAGGAAGGGAAAGAAGAAAAGGGACGGAGGGACGGAATGGATGGATGAAGGAAGGAAAGAAAATGGATGGAGGAAAGAATGAAGGAAAAGGAGGGAAAGGAGGAAGTTAGGGAGGGAATGGATGGAGGAAGAAAGGGGAGGGAAGGAAGAAAGGGAAGGTGAGGAAGGAAAGGAAGGAAGGAGGAAGAAAGGAAGGGGAGGAAGGGGAGGAAGGGAAGGAAGGGAAAGGGAGGGGAGGAAGGGAAAGGGAGGAAGGGAGGAAGGGAGGAAGGAAGGAAGGAAGGAAGGAAGGAAGGAAGGAAGGGAAGGGAAGGGAGAGAGGGAATGGATGGAGGAAGGAAGAAAAGAAAATGGATGCAGGATGGAAGGAAGGAAGGAAGGACAGAAGGAAGGACGGGGAGGGAGGAAAAGAAGAAAGGGGAAGGGAGGAAGGAAGGAATAAAAATGGAGAGAGGGAATGGATGAAGAAAGAGGAGGTAAGGAAGGAGGGGTGGGAGGAAAGAATGAAGGGAGGGGATGGAGGAAGGAAGGAAGGGAAGGGAAAAAAAGGGGAGGAAGGAAGGAAGGAAGGAAGGAAGGAAGGAAGGGGAGGAAGGAGGGGAATGAAGGGGAGTAAGGAGGGGAAGGAAGGGAAGGAATTGAAGGAAGGAAGGAAGGAAGGAAGGAAGGAATGAAGGAAAGGTAAGGAAGAGGGAAGGGGGAGAGAGAGGAAGGAAGGGGAGGGAAGGAAGAGGGAAGGGAAGGAGGAGAGGGAGGAAGGAAGGAAGGAAGGAAGGAAGGAAGGAAGGAAGGAAGAAAAGGGAGGGAATGGATGGAGGAAGAAAGAAAATGGATGAATGAAGGAAGGGGAGGGAAGGAAAAAAGGAAGGAAGGAAATGAAAGGAAGGGAGGGAGGGAGGGAGGAAAGAATGAAGAGAGGGGATGGAGGAAGGAAGAAAAGAGAAGGAATGGATGGAGACTGCCTCCTCCTCTGCTCCCCACACTGTCACTGGACAGTGATCCTCTCACGGGCCCCCTTCTGACCCCGGGCCCTCGGGCAATGCACCTAAAGTTAATACTGTACTTTATTAAAGCACCTTTTGATTTTATGACATCATTCAGTCTTTTGGGGTAGGAGTCTATCAGCATGGCACATTTTGCCTTGGGAATCTTTTCCCACTCTTCCTTGCAAAAGTGCTCCAAATCTGTCAGACTGTGAGGGCATCTCTTATTACAGTCCTCTTCAGGTTACCCCACAGATTTTCAATTGGATTCAGGTTCAGGCTCTGGCATGGTCATTCCAAAAATGTTGATCTTCTCTGGCAACGCCATTTTTTTTTGTTGATTTGGAGGTATGCTTTGGGTCTTTGTTAGGCCAGAAAAGTGAAATTCTTCTTCACATTCAGCATTTTAGCAGAGGTCTGAAGGTTTTGTGCCTAAACTGACTTATATTTTGAACTCCCTTCACCTTGACTAAAACTTTGGAAAAAAAATAGCCCCAAAGCATAATGTTGCCAACACCATGCTTCACTATGAGTATGCTTGGATGTTTTTCTTAAAAAGAACAGCCTTCTCTACCCCACAGACCATACATATGAAGAATATGGGAGGGTTGTTGTCACATGTACTACACAACCAATACTTGCCAGAAACTCCTGCAGGTTCTTTAATGTTGCTTAAGGTCAATTGGTAGCCTCCCAAACAAGTTTTCTTAATTTTTTAAATCAATTTTGGAGGAACATCCAATTCTTGGTAATGTCACTGTTGTGCCATATTTTCTCCACTTGTTGATGATCATCTTCACTGTGTCTCATGGTATATCTAATGCCTTGGAAAACTTAGTACCGTCTCCTGACTGATACCTTCTATCAGTATGATCCATTCAATGCTTTCTAAGCTTTGTGGAACATGGATTTTGATGTAAAGCCCTACACACACGGGCCAATCTCTTGGCCGGTTTCTGTCAAACAAGCTTGCTGGAAAACATGCAGCTGATTGGCATCCGATCAGAGCTCTCAGCCAATGGCTGCAAGCACTGACTGGTGTGTTCAGGACAGGGGGGAGGGAGTTGGGTAGCACTGCAACGTTACTACAGCAACTTCCTGGTAAGCTCTTCAGTACGAACTTGCCGTGGGTATCAGGCTTAAGAGGCAACTGAGTAAGTGGAAGAAAAAACCTACTAGAACAGCCAAACTTTATTTATTTCATGATTGATGGCTGGTGTGTACTGATTACTATTCAACATCAGTTTGAATGTGATTGGTTCATTCTGAGCACAGCCACATCCCTAATTATAGGAGGGTGTGTAACATCTATGCAACCACATTATTTTATTTGTATTTTTTTCTACACTAAATAACAAATTATCATTTGTTTTTTTTTAATTGAATGTACAGATTGTAGGTCACATTAAAAAAGAGTGTGTATAGACTCTTTATACAGTATATACTGTATCCCCTTCACAACACAGTTTTTTCTTTCAGATAATATACTATTCCATTCAACAATAAATGTCTTCTTCTCGTGAATCTTTCAGTTTTTAATATGCAAATAGTGTTGCAGGACACTTCAAAGTTACATAGTTACATAGTTAGTCTGGCTAAAAAAAGAAGTCCATCCAGTTCAACCATTAAAAAAAATGTTATAATCCTATACCCACAGTTGATCCAGAGGAAGGCAGAAAAACCAAGCAAAGCCTGATACAGTTTTCTTCTGCAGGGAAAAAAATTCCTTCCTGATCCCATGAGAAGCAATCGGATATTCTCTGGATCAACTTTACCTATAAATGTTAGTATCCAGTTATATTCTGTGTATCTAAGAAAGAGTCCAGACCTTTTTTAAAGCCATAAACTGAGCTGGCCAACTCTTGAGAGAGTGTATTCCACATTTTCACAGCTCTCACTGTGAAGGAACCTTTCCGTGTTTGGAGATTGAATTTCTTTTCCTCCAGACGTAGAGTGCCCCCTTGTCCTCTGTGATGACCTCAGGGTGAATATCTCTACACTGAGTTCACTATATGAACCACTGATGTATTTATACATGTTGATCATATCCCCCCTTAATCTCCTCTTCTCAAGAGGGAATAAATTCAGTTCCTCTAATCTTTCCTCATAGCTGAGCTCCTCCATGCCTCTTATTAGTTTGGTTGCCTTTCTCTGTACTTTCTCCAGTTACCCAATGTTCTTTTTGTAAATTGGTGCCCAAAATTGAACTGCATATTCCAGATGAGGTCTTACAAATGATTTGTACAGGGGTAATATGATATCTCTCTCTCTGGAGTCTATACCTCTTTTAATACAAGAGAGGATTTTGCTCACTTTAGAAACCACAGCTTGGCATTGCATGCCATTATTAGCTTGTGATCTACCAGAACTCCCAGATCCTTCTCCACCATTGATTCCCCCAGTCGTACCCCCTCCTCTAGTATATATGATGCATGCATATTTTTAGCCCCCAGTGCATAACCTTACATTTATTAACATTAGTTGCCCAATTAAACAGTGCATTGAGATCTGCTTGTAAATTGGAGACATCCTGTACGGACGTTATTCCATTGCACAGCTTGGTGTCTTCTGCAAAGACTGAAATGGTATATTTAATCTCAGACCCTATAATGGAAATAAATGTATTAAAAAGTAAGGAGCTGAGTCTCCACCTCCTCATTAGCATTGGGAGGCCTATAACAAACTCCAATGATTACCTTTGTAGTACGCACCCCCATGTGCAGTTCCACCCATAATACTTCAGCCTCATCACACTCTCCATCAACCAGGTCCTCTTTCACACTCTCTCTGAGGTCACTTTTCACTTAGAGACAGACACCACCACCTTTCCTATTTACCCTGTCTTTCCAAAAGTTATAAGTAGTGATATCCCTGTGCCATCTACTATTTATGGATAAAACCTTACCCTGTTTAATTACACCTCTATTATGAAAAGGGTTGTATTCTCTGGGCCTAATCCTTTTTCAGGTGTAGCTTACACTTTCCTTATTATTCAAACTTCTCCAGTGAATCGCTATGTACATACCTTTTCTTGCACATTGGAACAAAGGGGTTGCTGTATTTTTTTTTTTTTTTATTGTGGTGTTTAATAGTGCAACTTGTGATTTTTTTATTGTATCTGTATCAAAGTTTTTATTTTGATATTATTGAAGTGCTGTAGCTGGGGGAGGGGGTGGACACTACATTTAGAGAGCTCAGAAAGTATTATTATTTATGGAGTCACTTTAATTTAGTAGTGGTAGAGTAGTATAATTGAGAATTACTTACTAACAAATAATGTGATGGGTCACCAGAGAAATGAGGTAGCAGAGGTGGTAGCGATGAAGCACTGAACAGAGAGCTGCCAGCAGATGTTACTGATGTACTCCTGTAGTCACCTATAGAGTCAGAGAAATAAGGCTCCAGCAGGGATGGGTAGCTTTGAATGGTTGCTGAATCACAACCTATTGACTTTGACCCCAGAGATGAAGAGTAGATGTCATTTGAGTATTGCTTGGCACCATGGAACTCAGATTCAGGAAGGAAAGATCTTCGGACACTGTAATACCCAGACAGCACAGGTGAGCCTGGTAGAATAAATATAATAAATTAGAGATGGTTACATTTTGTATTGTAAAATAAAATACAGTTGAAATAAAATATACTGTAAAATGCAGAGAGGATTTGTATTTTGCTTTTGTCAGAAGAGATCCTGTTAAATTTTATTTATATATACATGTGGGTGAAATGTTATTAAACCCCTTCCTGCACAGGCCAATTTTCAGCACTGTTGAACTTTGAATTACAATTGCCTGGTCATGCAACGTTGTACCTGTAGTACATTTTTTTAATTTTTTTCACACAAATAGAGCTTTCTTTTAGTGGTATTTAATCTTAGTTACACAGTTAGTCTGGTATAAAAAAAGACACAAGTCCACCTAGTTCAAAATTAGAAGCAATGGCTTTAAAATAACAGAGCTCAATTCTTTTAGGACACGTGTTTGTATGCCATCTGATCCAGGTGCTTTATTCACTTTTGCTCTGTATAAATATTTCTGGACCATATAAATTTTGAGCCATTGTGTCAATATCATCCCCATTATGGACATGAGCTCCCCCATGCTCCTTTGTATACACAGAGCGGAAGAAGATATTTAATAAATTTGCCTTCTCTCTGTTCCTAGTCACCCACTCTAGATTATTTTTTAAAGGGCCTACATGCTCAGATCTGAGCTTTTTATTATTAATATATTTGAAGATTTTTTTTGTCCTACTTATCGTTTACAGTCTTTTGTTAATTTTGAATTTTCGGGTCCTTGCTTTCCTTTTTACATATTCTATTAAATTCTTTGTAACAGTTAAACAATGATAGTGTTCCTTAATTTTTATATTTTTTTAATGCTCTTTTCCTCTTTTTCAACTTTGGCTACACAGGTTTTATTTTTAACTTTTAAATGTATTGCCCATAAGAATATATATTGCAGTGTGTGTCCGGAACATGTCCGGGATGCTGCAGCTTAACTGGCTGCACATCGGGTGGGGGGACTACGATCAATTGGTAGCTGACTTGCGGTCTGCCTTCCTCATGCTTAAACTGGCTCTCCCTGCTTGCACACTGCTGCCAGACTCTCCGTGTGTCAGAGCAGGAGTATCAGGCAGCCATCATCCTCCAGGCTCAGGCCACGCCCTCACATATTCTGTTATATTCTTTGTAATATTTAAACAATGATAGTGTTCCTTCATTTTTATATTTGTTAAAAGCTCTTTTTTTATTTTTTAACTTTGGCCACACAGGTTTTATTTTAAGCCTTTAATACGTATTGTTCATAGGAATATATTTTGCACTGTGTTTGCATATAGTCTTTTTGAAGAATTCCCATTTCTGTGTTGTGTTCTTCAATGCCAATATTCCTTCCCAGTCTAAGTCTTTGGAGAGCAGCCCTCATCCTTGGAAAATTTGCTCTCTTAAAATTTGAATATTATTATCTTTCCAGTATGTGCTTGTTGTTTACAGCTAACATTAAAAAAAATTATGTTATGGTCACTGTTACCCAGATGTTCTTGTATATGAACATGAGTAATAAACTCTGCATAGTTGAAATTTCCAGGTCCAGCAGAGCATCATTATTAGTTGGGGCCTCTATGAACTGTACTATAAAATTGTCTTGTAGTAGGTTTATAAATTTTTGTCCTTTAACTGTTCCTGCTGTGCCTTTACTCCAGTCAATTTCTGGGTAATTAAAATCCCACATTATCATAACTGTGCCAGCCTTTGCAGCCCTTTACGAGCTGTGCAAGGAGCTGAGTCTCCACCTCCTCATTAACACTGGGAGGCCTATAACAAACTCCAATGATTACCTTTTATAGTACCCACACCCATGTGCAGTTCCACCCATAATGCTTCAGCCTCATCAGACTCTCCATAAACTAGGTCCTCTTTCACACTCGCTTTGAAATCACTTCTCACATTGTCAAAATTGTAGCATTTCAAATATATGTCAATATATTTGATAAGAATATTTTTAAAATATATTTCAAATATATTTTTCTTCCATGTGAGAATCTAATTGTCTCTCCCCCCTTAATCTTAGTTTACATATTCCTCCAACCTTCCCATAAACCTCTCCCACAGCACAGCAGACCCCCTTCCATTTAGGCACAAACCATATCTAGCATATAGGTTGCACCCCAATGAAAAGTCAGCCCAGTGCTCTAGAACCCAAATCCTTACACCCTCTTACACCAGGTCTTTAGCCATGCCTTCAGTTCTCTGATCTCCCCCTGTCTTTCCTGTGTTGGCTCAGGGAATATTTAAGAGAATATCACCTTGGAGGTCCTTCCCTTCAACTTGCAGCCTAGTTCTTTAAATTGATTCTTAAGGAGCCTCCACCTTCCATGAATTCTGTCATTGGTTCCAACATGGACCAAGATAGCTGGGTCATGCCCAGCCAATCCCAGTAATACATCAACCTGGTCCACCGCATGCTGAACCCTGGCACCAGGGAAACAGCAAAGCATTCTGTTAAAGCGATCCTGGTGTAAAATTATTCAGTCCTTAGAATTATAGAATCCCCCATTACCACCAATCTTCCTGCATTACCCTCACCACCTGTACTATATGGGCTGCTCTCTGTTAGGGATAGTAGTAACATCTAGGGCAGCCAGCTCTGAGCTTGCCACCCCCACATCTTCACCCGACTTGGCAAATCTGTTAAATGGATCAAACTCAGGGCTACTCAATCACACACGTCAACTTCCTAGACACCACAGTATACATCAGGGATGATACGCTTCACACCTCAATATATAGGAAACCCACTGACAGATGCAACTACCTCCACAGTTCTAGCTTCTCCCCCGAACACACGAAACGTGCCATCATACACAGTCAGGCCATTAGATACCACCGAATATGTTCTGACCCAAGAGACAGAGAAAAATCTCAGGACACTAGCATATTCCTTCCATAAGAAAGGTTACAAGGACAAAACTATCAACACCAGCATAAACACAGCCTTCAGAACACGAAGGGAAAACCTACTTCAGTACAAAGAGAAAAAAACAAACAACCGTGTACCTCTAGTAACCACATACAACCCAGCACTAGAAGGGATAAGAAAAATAATCAAAGATTTACAACCCATCATAGCAGAGGATGGAACTCTCAAAAAAATATTCCAGCAATCACCAATACTGGCCTTCAGACAACCCCCCAACCTCAGAAATAAACTAATCAGTAGGAAACTTCCTTCTGATTATGATGTCACAAATAATGGAAGCAAACCCTGCAATAAGAAACGCTGCAAACTGTGCAACCAAATCAATCCATCAAAAAGTGTCCGACACTCAAAAGGGATCTTCAATATCTCCGGATCATACAGCTGCACCTCCAGTAATGTTGTGTACCTTATCCAGTGCAGAAAATGCAGCAAAGGATCTTATGTTGGCGAAACAGGACAGAAGTTGCAAACAAGGATGAATTTGTACAGACATACCATCAAGGAACATAAAGAAGATGACTTTTGCACACCTGTTTCACACAACCAGACCACACAATGGAAGACCTCAGTATTTTAGTTCTTAAAGGAAATTTCAAATCCATTCAGGAAAGAAAAACTTTTGAACTAAGAATGATAATTCTATTTGACACAAGAGATAACGGCCTGAATTTGGACATGGGATTCCTCAACCATTATCCAACAGTTTTATGACTATCACCTCAAGCATGACTGCCTCTGTGAGTGTTGTCTCCCCCCCCCCCCCCCCGACTTAGCTTTTGCTGTATCTTATCTCTGTTTTTTTTTCCCATCCCCTACATCTCTTCCAACATTCTGCTAAATCTTTGTTTCAGTACTGCTTAGACATGAAGAAGGGGACATTCCCCGAAAGCTTGTCCTCAAAATTGTATATTAGTGCACATAAAAAAAGTATCACAGACAGTATTCAATTGTTCCTGTTGCAGCCATTGAGAAATACTGTGAGAGCTGTGATTCGTCACAGTTTGTCACATGGTACAAAACTGTTGTGAATAGCTTTGTACCATGTGACCCCTGTGATCATTCACAGATTTCACAAGTAGTAAACAATGGAAGTGAAATGACATCTTGCTTACTACTATTCATGTGATCACTGATTGGCCAATCAGTGATCACATGAATCGGGACCTCACACAGAGGTCCCGTACACCGATTGGTGTTCCTCTGTGCTGCGCGCTACCAGGGAGAGCACGCACGCAATGGATGCGGGGGGATGTTTAGAAACCTTCACCTGCTCCGGCAGTGCTCCCGTCCGGCCGTTTATGTACATGGACTGGACGGGAAGTGGTTAAGCAAAACATTGAAAATGCAAAATTCTCCTAACCATAAAAGTGAACAGAGATTCCCTTCATCTTTACTAGACCATTATCCTATATGAGGGTCTGATATAGATGTTAATGAGGGGGCCCTATACAAAAAGGTGTGGGGTGCTCCCTAAAAAACAAATTGCAGACCCTTAGGGCCAGTTAACACCACATGCAGTCCAGAGGTTTTTTTTCTACATCAGAAACGCATTCATAGTAGGTTACATGGTTTTCAATGGCAAAGTTCACACCAGTGCGGTCAGTTCCAGTGCTTCCCAGTTCCAGAAAAAGAAGTAGAACATTTTTTCTGCACTCAACTGTACTGGAATGCAGTATAACGCATCAAAAATGCACCAAAAATGCACCATAATGAGCATGTCCTTATTAAAGTGGAGTTCCACCCAAAAGGGGAAGTTCCGCTTTAAAGAATGGTCCCCCACTCCCCACTAAGGATTGGCACCTTTGGGGAGCGGGTACCCGAAATTGACAGGTACCCGCTCCCACTTCTGCTGCGATTGCCTAGGCGATCAGAAGCAGATGTTGTCCTTCTACCCTCCCTCCCCATAGTCTTGTGGGACATGTGACAGGTCTCAGAAGATGACAGGACCATTCAGAAAGTGCATGCGCAGTGGGCACCCTGCTGTGAAGCCGCAAGCTGTCACAGCCGGGTGCCCACACTGAAGATGCCGGTACCTGGAATACAGGACAGCCGGTGAAACGGGCTGCAGCGGGGGCACAGCGGGATCGTGGGTCG